ATAGAAAAATTATGTGGCAGATATAAACTTTAATGCCACCAAATCAAGCCTATTTTTTCCCCACTTTTTCAAAAAAAAATGTATAAAAACTGGTTCTACCGAACGTTGGATATTACTCGGTAAATAACTTCGTAAATGTGATAGTTTTTGGAAGAATTACCGACAATGTTAGGTAAAAGGACACATGTGCAACTAATGTAACATTTTACTGTGGCAACGTTTCGCTCTCCAGGAACTTTATGAAGCTCGAGCGACAATAATAAAATGTCGAAAATAAAATATCGCATTAGTTGCACTTGTGTCCTATTACCTAACAGCTTCATAAATGGTATTTAAGCCAGACACTGAGTCTAGCTCTATGGTAAGTCAGTTTTAATTAAATTGAAGCCGACAACTGCCCTAGGAGCCATTAAGGCCGCAGTTCCTCTTAATACTAACATCAGGAATACTTTAGTTCCAAAATAAAGATTAATGTGGATTCTCGGTGTATATACACAGAGTTCTACCCGGAGGGTGCTGCTGGAGTCTACCTTCAGGGTGCTGCTGGAGTCTACCTTCAAGATGCTGCTGGAGTCTACCTTAAGGGTGTTGCTGGAGTCTACCTTCAGGGTGTTGCTGCAGTTTACCTTCAGGTCGTTGCTGCAGTTTACCTTCAGGGAGTTGCTGGAGTCTACCTTCAGGATGGTGCTGTAGTCTACCATCAGAGTGTTTCTGCAGTCTACCTTCAGGGTGTTGCTGCAGTCTACCTTCAGGGTGTTGCTGCAGTCTACCTGCAGGGTGTTCCTGCAGTCTACCTGCAGGGTGTTGCTGCAGTCTACCTGCAGGGTGTTCCTGCAGTCTACCTGCAGGGTGTTCCTGCAGTCTACCTGCAGGGTGTTGCTGCAGTCTACCTGAAGGGTGTTCCTGCAGTCTACCTGCAGGGTGTTCCTGCAGTCTACCTGGAGGGTGTTCCTGCAGTCTACCTGCAGGGTGTTCCTGCAGTCTACCTGCAGGGTGTTCCTGCAGTCTACCTGCAGGGTGTTGCTGCAGTCTACCTGCAGGGTGTTCCTGCAGTCTACCTGCAGGGTGTTCCTGCAGTCTACCTGCAGGGTGTTCCTGCAGTCTACCTGGAGGATGTTCCTGTAGTCTACCTTCAGGGTGTTCCGGGGGTCAACGTCCCCGCGGCCCGGTCCATGACTAGGCCTCCCTTAACCACCTCGGGGTACATACAGCCTGTGTTTCCTAAGAGACTTTCCCAAGTATTCAAGGAAGCGAAGCGAGTGTGTAGTTATGCAACATTTAGTAAAACTTTCATTGTGTATTAATAGACGCTTAGTTCGAGTGTTTTTGTTTATTTAGTTTAACAAGCTATGTAATTTTTATCTTTAATTTGTCTTAATATAGACTGATGATATAGTAATAATATATGTCTCCGTAATATAGCAACATCGTTTGTCATGGATGAGTAAAACGTGCTACACTTGGGTAAATTTATTGTCGAAACGCTTCCCCTGCTCCGAAGGCTTTTTCAGTCGAATACAGAGGTGACAACTGTTGAAGACAACGGGTGGAGAGGTAAGGATGATAAGTCAGGTGATAAGTCAGTGAAGGAGTAGTAGTTCTGAGGTGGTCAGTTCTTCAGCCTTCACAAGTGTTCAACTCCATCATCTCGACCAGCTGTTGCACATGTGTTAGGTAAAAGCACACACGTGAAACTGATGTGGCAACGTTACGCTCTCCAGGAGCTGTCAAGCGAAACGTTGCCACAATAAAATGTCAAATTAGTTGCGCATGTGTCCTTTTCCTAACATTTTTTCGGCAATTCTACGTTTATTACCTGTTGCACTTATGTCTTATTCATCAACCCTGTCGGTATAATACGGTATATCATCATTATTATTATGATATTGGTCTTTATTACACAGATAACCCGCAGATAGGAGAGAAACTCATGACGGCATTTCGGTCCGACCTTAACCATTAACTAGTCACTAGTTAATGGTCCAAGTTGGACCTTTAACGTCGCCATAAGTATTTCTCTCCTATGTGCTGGTTATCTATGTATTATTCTAGTCACGGTATTGTACCTTTCTATTCTTCATTGGTCTTCATGTTCCTCGTTTATCTCTCTTTTCAAATTAATTCTTTCGTGTGAGTCAACCGGGCGAGATGGAGTGTCCCTTCCTATACTAGTATATCCTTCTGGTGTCAAGAAATTGGGGACAGATTATATATGCCCCAATAGGTCATACTGGGTTGTGATGTAATGTGAAGATGTAAGCCAGTACTGAGTCTCGGCAGACATGTAAGTGCGTAGAAGAAAATTAAGTGTTGTAAGTGAGAGGTGTGCAAGTAAGGATGCCGAGATGATGCATACATGAAAAACGAAGTGATTATTTAGGATTATGAATCAGGCATGACTGGAAGGTAGTGTGTGAGAGTTACTGAGATGTAGTGAGAGTTACTGAGATGTAGTGAGAGTTACTGAGATGTAGTGAGAGTTACTGAGATGTAGTGAGAGTTACTGAGATGTAGTGAGAGTTACTGAGATGTAGTGAGAGTTACTGAGATGTAGTGAGAGTTACTGAGATGTAGTGAGAGTTACTGAGATGTAGTGAGAGTTACTGAGATGTAGTGAGAGTTACTGAGATGTAGTGAGAGTTACTGAGATGTAGTGAGAGTTACCGAGATGTAGTGAGAGTTACTGAGATGTAGTGAGAGTTACTGAGATGTAGTGAGAGTTACTGAGATGTAGTGACTTCAACATTCCTTGCAGTTTTACTTCCTCTTTCTTCACTCCACCACCTCTACCTTCACCCTCACTCCACCACCTCTACCTTCACCCTCACTCCACACCTCACCTCACCCTCACTCCACCACCTCTACCTTCACCCTCACTCCACCACCTCTACCTTCACCCTCACTCCACCACTCTACCTTCACCCTCACTCCCACCACCTCTACCTTCACCCTCACTCCACCACCTCTACCTTCACCCTCACTCCACCACCTCTACCTTCACCCTCACTCCACCACCTCTACCTTCACCCTCACTCCACCACCTCTACCTTCACCCTCACTCCACCCACCTCTACCTTCACCCTCACTCCACCACCTCTACCTTCACCCCATCCACCACCCTACCTTCACCCCATCCACCCCTCTACCTTCACCCTCACTCCACCACCACTACCTTCACCCTCACTCCACCACCTCTACCTTCACCCTCACTCCACCACCTCTACCTTCACCCTCACTCCACCACCTCTACCTTCACCCTCACTCCACCACCTCTACCTTCACCCTCACTCCACCACCTCTACCTTCACCCTCACTCCACCACCTCTACCTTCACCCTCACTCCACCACCTCTACCTTCACCCTCACTCCACCACCTCTACCTTCACCCTCACTCCACCACCTCTACCTTCACCCTCACTCCACCACCTCTACCTCACCCTCACCATCCACCACCACTAACCTTCACCCTCACTCCACCACCTCTACCTTCACCCTCACTACAACCACACTCTACCTTCACCCTCACTTCACCACCTCTACCTCACCCTCACTCCACCACCTCTACCTCACCCTCACTCCACCACCTCTACCTTCAACCCTCACTCCCCAACCTTCACCCTCACCCCATCTACCTTCACCCTCACTCCACCACCTCTACCTTCACCTCACTCCACCACCTCTACCTTCACCCTCACTCCACCACCTCTACCTTCACCCTCACTCCACACCTCTACCTTCACCCTCACTCCACCACCTCTACCTCACCCTCACTCCACCACCTCTACCTTCACCCTCACCCCCCAAACTCTACCTCACACTCACTCCACCACCACTACCTTCACCCTCACTCCACCACCTCTACCTTCACCCTCACTCCACCCCTCTACCTCACCCTCACTCCACCACCTCTACTTCACCCTCACTCCACCACCTCTACCTTCACCCTCACTCCACCACCACTAACCTTCACCCTCACTCCACCACCTCTACCTTCACCCTCATCCACCACCTCTACCTCACCCTCACTCCACCACCTCTACCTTCACCCTCATCCACCACCTCACCTTCACCCTCATTCCACCACCTCTACCTCACCCCACTCCACCACCTCTACCTTCACCCCACCCACCACCACTACCTTCACCCTCACTCCACCACCTCTACCTTCACCCTCACTCCACCACCACTCCCTTCACCCTCACTCCACCACTCTACCTTCACCTCACCCACCACCTCTAACCTTCACCCTCACTCCACCACCTCTACCTTCACCCTCACTCCACCACCATACCTTCACCCTCACTCCACCACCTCTACCTTCACCCACTCCACCACCTCTACCTTCACCCTCACTCCACCACCTCTACCTTCACCCTCACTCCACCTCTACCTTCACCCTCACTCCACCACCTCTACCTTCACCCCTACCCACCACCTCTACCTTCACCCTCACTCCACCACCTCCACCTTCACCCTCACTCCACCACCTCTACCTTCACCCTCACTCCACCACCTCTACCTTCACCCTCACTCCACCTCTACCTTCACCCTCACTCCACCACCTCTACCTTCACCCTCACTCCACCACCTCTACCTTCACCCTCACTCCACCACCTCCACCTTCACCCTCTCTCATGCAATAATACGAACGTGTGTTCTACTAATACTGACTTACTAAGCGTTGTTTTCAATAAATAATTTACCTAACTTTAACTTTGACATTTGATAATTCCGAGACATTTTATACTTTAAATATAATACAAATTAATGAATTAAGGAAAGGAATTTCAGGAGTCCTGGATCTTAAATAACTATGTGGTTGCGCTTTCCTTAAAAAAAGTCATCATATAAAGTTTTTTTTATTTATATGAAAGATGTTTTTCACCTCTTCTCTTGAATATATGAGTTATATATATATATATATATATATATATATATAATATATATATATATATATAGTTTGTGATGAGAAAGATGGTTTATTCTCGTATTCCTTACAGACTCGTCGGGGGAGGTGCGACTAGCTCTTGAGCCTACAGGTTAGGTACTGTGAGGTGTGACCTCTAACACTAACACTAGTCTGGCCCTAACAACCTCTACTGCTTCTCTCCTCCGATCTCATTAACCTAACATTCTTACCTGCCTTAAATTCATTCTCATCCCTCCCTTCCTTACCTAACAACCTCCCTACCTCCCTCTGTCTCTGTCTCTCTGTCTGTCTGTCTGTGTGTCTGTCTCTCTCTCTCTCTCTCTTTCCCCCTCCCTGGCTTCCACTTCTTCAGTGGTTCGTGTGCCTGCCTGCAAAAGGGTTCAAAGGTCAGAGGTGGTGGTATGTTAGTTTTGGGTCCCGGAGGTACCTCTGAAGGGGCGGCCATTTTGATGCCGTATTCCTATAAACCTTGTGCCGTCTACCTCAATGATTCCAGAAAGGTATCACCTCTCCAGTGATCTAAGAAGGGTATCCCCTTCTACTGTACGTCAAGCATCCTCTACTTTAGTAAAGGCAAAGGAAATAGTTTAGAATGCAGCATTAATTTCTGTTTCATTTAAATGCATAATACACCACTGTAATATGAAGACTAATAGTGATAATTAGAGGAAAATAAACACGAAATCATACACTGAAGACACGTCGAACCTAGGATCTAGATCACAGTGTTGAAAGATAAAAGTCATATCCAGTGGGAGTCTATACAACAGTGACCAGAGGGCGCCTACACATGCCAGTGGTTGTACGAACCTCTCCCTAGTGACATTAAACGAGCAACGGGAATTTGACACAGATCGGAAGAGGCGTTCTCAAGTTACACAACCCGAGAGGAAGAAAAGAACAACGTATAGGTGTCTCTCCGGCGATACGTAAGATATAAGATTTCATTCGGATTTTTAACCCCGGAGGGTTAGCCACCCAGGATAACCCAAGAAAGTCAGTTCGTCATCGAGGACTGTCTAACTTATTTCCATTGGGGTCCTTAATCTTGTCCCCCAGGATGCGACCCACACCAGTCGACTAACACCCAGGTACCTATTTGTTGCTAGGTGAACAGGACAATAGGTGTAAGGAAACGTGTCGGAATTTCCACCCGCCGGGAATCGAACCCGGGCCCTCCGTGTGTGAAGCGGGAGCTTTAGCCACCAGACCACCGTAATACATCTGACGTAATGATGCAATGTTACGCTGATTGTAGCATAACCTCAGTAATTAATAATAATAATATCAAATATAAAAAAAAACTAGGACTAAGACTACCATCACTATTTCTACTATTGAAACTATTACTACCAATACTATGACTTTTACTACTAATACTTATGCAACTATTACCACTACCACGACTTCTGCTACTACTATTATTGCAGCTACTTCTACAATACTACTGTACTTCAAATGTCGTATGACTGTATGACTCCCTGGCTAGTATGACTACCTGGCTAGTATGACTACCTGGCTAGTATGACTACCTGGCTAGTATGACTCCCTGGCTAGTATGACTCCCTGGCTAGTATGACTACCTGGCTAGTATGACTACCTGGCTAGTATGACTACCTGGCTAGTATGACTACCTGGCTATTATGACTCCCTAACTAATATAACTACCTGGCTAGTATGACTACCTGGCAAGTATGACTCCCTGGCTAGTATGACTCCCTGGCTAGTATGACTCCCTGGCTAGTATGACTCCCTAACTGATATAGCTCCCTGGCTAGTATGACTCCCTGGCTAGCATGACTTCTTGGTTAGTATGACTCCCTGGCTAGCATGACTCCCTGACTAGTATGACTCCCTGGCTAGTATAACTCCCTGGCTAGTATGACTCCCTAGCTAGTATGACTCCCTGGCTAGTATGACTCCCTAGCTAGTATAACTCCCGATCTAGTATGATTCCCTGGCTAGTATGAATCCCTGGCTAGTATGACTCCCTGGCTAGTATGAATCCCTGGCTAGTATGACTCCCTGGTTAATAATGACTCCCTGACTAGTATGACTCCCTGGTCAGTATGATTCCCTGGCTGATATGACTCCCTGGCTAGGATGACTCCTGGCTAGTATGACTCGCTAACTAATACAACTCCCTGGCTAGTATGACTCATTGGCTAGTATAATTCCCTGGCTAGTATAACTCCCTGGCTAGTATGACTACTAGCTAGTATAACTCCCTGGATAGTATGACTCCCTGACTAGTATGACTCCCTGACTAGTACGACTCCCTGGCCAGTGTGACTCCCTGCCTAGTATAACTCCCTGGCTTGTATAACTCCCCGGCTAGTATAACTCCCTGGTTAGTATGACTCCCTGGTTAGTATGACTCCCTAGCTAGGATGACACCCTGGATAGAATAACTCCCGATCTAGTATGATTCCATGGCTAGTATGACTCCCTGGCTAATATGACTCCCTGACTAGTATGACTCCCTGGCTAATATGACTCCCTGGATAGTATGACTCCCTGGATAGTATGACTCCCTGGATAGTATAACTCCATGGCAAGTATGACTCCCTGGCTAGTATGACTACCTGGCTAGTATGACGCCCTGGCTAGTATGACGCCCTGGCTAGTATGACGCCCTGGCTAGTATGACTCCTTGGCTACCATGACTCCCTGGCTAGTATGACTCCCTGGCTAGTATGACTCCCTGGCTAGTATGGCTCCCTGGCTAGTATGACTCTCTGGCTAGTATGACTCCCTGGCTAGTATGACTCACTGGCTAGTATGACTCACTGGCTAGTATGACTCACTGGCTAGTATGACTCACTGGCTAGTACGACTCCCTGGCTAGTACGACTCCCTGGCTAGTACGACTCCCTGGCTAGTACAACTCCATGGCTAGCATGACTCCCTGGCTAGTACGACTCCCTGGCTAGCACGACTCCCTGGCTAATATGATTCCCTGGCTAGTATGACTCCTTGGCTGGTATGACTCCCTGGCTAGCATGACTCCCTGGATAGTATGACTCCCTGGATAGTATGACTCCCTGGATAGTGTGACTCCCTGGACAGTATGGCTCCATGGCTAGTATGACTCCCTGGCTAGTATGACTCCCTGGCTAGTACGACTCCCTGGCTAGCATGACTCCCTGGCTAGTATGACTTTCTGGCTAGTATGACTCCATGGCTAGTACGACTCCCTGGCTAGTACGACTCCCTGGCTAGTATGACTCCCTGGCTAGTATGAATCCCTGGCTAATATGACTCCCTGGTTAATATGACTCCCTGACTAGTATCACTCCCTGGTTAGTATGATTCCCTGGCTAATGTGACTCCCTGGCTAGTATGACTCCTGGCTAGTATGACTCGCTAACTAGTATGACTCCCTGACTAGTATGACTCCCTGGCTAGTATGACTCATTGGCTAGTATAATTCCCTGGCTAGTATAACTCCCTGGCTAGTATGACTACTGGCTAGTATAACTCCCTGGCTAGTATGACTCATTGGCTAGTATAACTCCCTGGCTAGTATGACTACTGGCTAGTATAACTCCCTGGCTAGTATGACTCCCTGACTAGTATGACTCCCTAACTAGTATGACTCCCTGACTAGTATGACTCCCTAACTAATTAACTCCGTGGCTAGTGTGACTCCCTGGCTTGTATAACTCCCTGGCTATAGAACTCCCCGGCTAGTAAATCCCCCGGTTTGTAAAGACTCCCTGGTTTTGTAGACTCCCTGGC